TGGGCGAGACATCAACGCTGTGGCTATCCTCATATAGTTTAATTTATATGAATTTTTCATTTTCAGCATCAACCCAGAACGGCCGGTCGATTTGAAGGAGTCCTTCAATTACTCTCTTTGGATGGAGCAGGTTGATATTATGATTATTACTATTTTGTAAATAGACAAAACCACGTGCTAAAACTGATAAACATTTGTCGTTTTAGAGTTAAGAAACGCTAGATACTTTTAAAAATTTAAAAATAAAAAATCCCCGGTATCCCAGAGATATCAATGTCATGATCACTTTGTTGCTTTGTAGAATAGTACATGGAATATGGAGTTTAGCTATGAAATTATAAGCGTTTCTTGGTTTCTTTTTTGCAAATGTCCACTAGAGGTCTGTTTTACATCCAATATGTCCAGTGAGCTACAGAATATTTGTTGTTCCTTATTGCTTTCAGAAATGGCCACAAGAGGTCGCCTCATTCAAGCCAGCCTTGCTCAACCTGAACCGCAAGGCCACTTCACTGGGCATACGAATCCTGCAGGGACTTGCACTTGCTATGGGACTGGTGGGTAATCTCATGTGCCTTCACTGCTCATCAGGCTTTCATCGGACCTACTCTCATTATTTTATCCACTTCTGCCGACCCGGTGCCATTGTAGAAACACTGTAAGCACTCTTACTGTGGTATATGATAAACACGAACATTTTCTGGAAATCTGATCGCCTTGTGACGTCATTTGTGACGTCATGATTATGCCCGGTTTGCGTTAAATTAATTTTAAACGGACCATATGTCTTTTCTCTTATCTGTCAAGGTGACAGTGGCAGCAAAGGTGAGACAAGGACGCCGGCTTCGTGTTCTCAACTTATCCCAGCAAATAATCTGTTTTTGACCTTGACCTAACAAACCCTGAGTACCAGTACCATAGATAAACCCCCTTAATCAGCAGAATACCTCAGCTGAGTATACAAGGAGTGGTTCTCTATGGCACTTATGGTTTATATCTTCTCATGTTTTTATCAAACTTTTTTTCTTCCCTTACGTACTTTACCTATCCTCTTAGTTAACTGTCAATTTCAATCATAAAACTTAAGCATGATCTTAGACTTTCGAAACTCGCATAACAACAAGAATGGATGTATCTATCTAAATGCGGGATAGGCACTATAGTGCGTCAACGACACCATGTCTGTTAATTGCCTTAGACAACTTCACCGTGAATGAAAAAAAATCTGTACTACAAGTAAATGATATCTGTTCTGGACAGATTCTTGTTATTATCTTTTGTTTGCAGGTTTTTATTTAAGTTTTTATTTAATTGTATTTATTTATTTATTTATTTATTTATTTATTTATTCTTGTGCAAATACTCGCGCAATTTGAATTTGATAAGACGGTACATCTATCAATTTTTCCCCTGGCCCTCCAGCAGTGATGACCCAAATAATTTTGTTTTACGTGCATTTATAAATGTAGTCGTATATGTGAGCGTTTTATTTGTATTGAGATGTCAATAGATAATGTGCAATACCCTTTTTTTTTCTTAACAAAAAAGGATCGACATTTCTTTGATGGACTACACAAAGGTTCGGGAACCCGGAAGTCACTGACGTCAACGCGGTGTAACTATTATCCGGAAGTTACAGATGAAACAGGTAAATAAGTTGGATAGCCTAATGGCGTTTCGTGGAGGGGCCCTTCCCCATTCCAGCTCACTTTTTCAGGATAAAAATGCAGATTCCGCCCCCCCCCCTCACAGTTCACCCCCCTCCCCCTACTGTTCCAAGAGTAGGGATAAACATTCTGGAAAATAGCTAAATATTAATGTTATTAATATTTGATATTAATATTTGAAAGACACGGTCGCTTTTTTAATCTGACATCTCTCAACACCGTTTTATGTGTGCGTGTGTATTTTTTCATTGTTGTCATGATATACTTTGTTCTTGCTTCTCTTAAAGAAAGTATAATTTCATTCCACAGTTACCTTCTTGTTTTTGTACAAATTCTTTTAATATGCTCTATGCTAAAATAAAGTATGATAAGTCATCGTTTGCCTGTGAAATCAGTTAAAATATCAAAAATTCGTGGTCGCTTGAGTCATTCTTCTCAGAAGAACTGGCTGTGTTATGCCAATAAACGGAGCCTTGATTTGCGTAAAAAGTAAATTTTATTTCTAGTAAGTTATGTCGTTCTTTTGCAGTGATTGTGCCGAATCAGATTCGCATTGGAGAGCATGCTGACTATGTGACCTTGACCCTCTTGTTTCAAGATGACCAAGGCGGGCTGGAGGTCGGTGAGCTATCATCAGCCCATATAATCCTTGAAATTTTGTTCATCAGAAAGAAGAATATTTATCATGCACAAATCAAAGAAAAAGTTAAAATAAAGAAAAGAAAAGTCAATTTAAAATAAAGAAAATATTTCTATTCGCCAATAAGTACCATTAATAACAACATAAGTTGTGTCATCACTGGTTCTATAAAGTGTTTGTCGAATACTTTATGTAGACAGATGCCACATGTATGACACAGTGGTGGAAATGGTTTAGTTTCATTGGGGATAACGAGACGGCAATACCTTTGATAAGTCCAGGGTATATACCGTACATTGTATACATGTATATAGGCCGTACTGCTAGTATACGTTTATAGTTGTTTTGACAGGTTCAGAGAAAGGACGGGTCTTGGTGCTCCGTGTCGCCGGTGCCTGGAACCATCGGAGTGTTTGTTGATCTGTTGTTACAAAGATGGACGGCTGACAAACTGAAAGCTACGGTAGGTACAGTTCTCTTCTCTTCGCACTTTCTCCCTCTCTCTCTCTCTCTCTCTCTCCAGTAGACTTATCTCTCACAGACACACACACATACGCACGCACTCACGCACACATATACACGCAAACACAATGTTTGTATGATAGTAGCCCATAAACAATGCCAGCAAACATCTGCGGTAACCTTGAATTCATACTGAAGTCCCAATTTTCATATCGGTGGACTCCTGCTGGTTTTTTTTTTTTTTTTTTTTTTTTTTAATGAAATGGACCAATTACTTGTAGAATTTGATACAAAATAAACTCCTGTGTGAACCCACTGTCACGTATGAGAGGGACCCCTGTAATACAGAGTCCAGTGACCCTTGATTCGTATGCCTTTTGGCCATAGGGTGCGCTAGTAGTCCGTTACAAAAGCGTTGAAAGCCCAATGTGCTATTTTGTACAATACTATACTGGGCCCCTGATATCAGAAGATAGATTTGTACAGGTGAGATCCGCCCATGGTTTTTGGTTCAATTACGTCACGCTTCTTCTTACCTGCATGAATCAAATGGAGAGCTAACTCTCTGTTACACGGACCCTCTGCTCCTAACCACCAGACTCTGCTCCTACACTGGCCATGTTTTTCTTTTTCTCTGTCAGGTGCACAGGGTGATTGTACCAGAAGGCAAGTGTCCAGCGCGCCAGTCCATTGCCCACTTCATCGTCCCTGATGACGATGTGGAAGTGAAATGCTTGGACGGATCCGATACGTACGAACCCGTCAACACGAGATCTTTCGTTACTGGGATATTTGACAAGACATATTAACGTTACAAAGGACTGATCATCTGAAGCCTTATATAGGTTTATATCTTTGGGCAGGTTTTGGTATTACTTACGCAAGAACTTACGGCTAAAGTATATGCTTTAACTTCAACTTAGAAAATATGGCTTAAGGACGGATAAAACTTAAGTTGGTTAACGATCGAGGGGCCCTTATTTTGAGGTCATTCAGATTTTTTTTTGTACCGATATTTTCAAATATTTTCAAATGGAAATACACCGGCATTGGATTGCTAAGCTGGAGAAATTTTAAAAAGATAAAATATAATAATTATGTTCTAAATACCTTTGACCGCTAACTCTTCAGCTGTCGGTACCACGAAAATTTAAAAAAAGAACGTGCGTAACTCCGCTTCAGGTGTAAGTGTTAACTTTTCAGCGATAAGCCTGAAGCTCTGAGCATAATTTGGAATTTGTCTGAAGAAGGAAATAAAAAAGTAACGCGCAAAACGCGGTGTGTTAGTATTGGTGATTCTATTCAGCAGAGCTTAAGAGAAAAAGACCAGAAACATATTTTTAGATTAATTTCGTCAGCGTAGTTGTCACACCTCCCTCGCTTGTGTGTCGTTATTTCTGATCCCCTCACTCCACAAAATCCCGTTTGATATGAAGCTTCTCACCGAGCAGTCCAAGGAGACCCACTGACATACATTAACACTGTATGTAATTCATAGGCAGTAACAGACATATCCTTTATGCCTGATGTACTTTTTCATCATGTTGCAAAATTTAAAAAATTGGTGGTTACTCAAAATAGAATTCCATTCGTTGGAGCAGGACACGGATAGTGAATAATGGTACGATAAAAGATCCTTTAACCAGTTGCGGTACAAACGAAAGACAGCTACACTATGTTTGTATCTCCCATAGTCCGTTTACCAGGCTTAGTTCGATCCCCTGATATCCTCCTCAAACAACATGATTACATTTCACATGCAATTGATGCAGTAGGGCGGTTGCACAACAGAGCTATAGTCAGAAGAATAATGGAAACTTTTTGACTATTTTTGTCACCTTTTGAGTGTTGTTTTATTTTAATGTTAACATTATACGATGCCCCTGTTGGTGTTGAGACACCATTCCTGGCAGACACACATGTATTGACGGCTTCCACGCTTGGGATTAAAAAAAATACAAACGAAGTTTCTTTCAAAAATCTAATAACCTTCTTTACTGTTGTGTAGTTCCTATATATTAATAAAAATGATAATTCAATATCCTTGGCGGAGACCCGCCCTTCCTGAGTGCTTTTTCCAGTTAACAGTATGACATACTGATGATATAGTTATGAGAAACATCAGGTCTTATGTAACAAAACATTAAACTTCCATTAAAATAAAATTTATTTTCAAAATATTCTGTAAAAAGTTCCGTAATTTATAATACTACAGTTTGAGTAGAATGTGTTTGTTTAAATGTATAACTAATTTTATAAAATAAGTGATCAATAAAATGTACATTGCTAGAATATTTTATTCTTGACGTATCGCGTACGGTTTTGTGTTAGGTAAAGTGAGCCACTCAAGAGCAGCGCACTGAAACCTGAAGGGAAGCTGCTGAAGAAAAGAGTCTGCGCTCATTGTCTGCCTTTAATCAAGCGATATATATACGCTAGCTTCCTGAGTATTTTGTCCCTTCCATTTTAATGAAGGATTTTCTTGAGCAGCGTCGACCAGTTGTTCATCATTTAGTTTATAGACAAACTTCTGTCTTTCTTTCTGAAAAGCGGCGGAATTGAAACACTGCTCCATTGCGTGCAACTCGCGCTGACGATGCAGGGACAGGCGATCAAACCAGTCTGAGTTCCGCGTTTTGAACTTCTCTTGTACGGTCTTATTCCAGCTGGTGGCACTGGCTAAATTCTCCACAAAGCCTGGGAGCATTTCTTGGAACTCGTGTTTGTTCCTGTGAACGAAAATATATAAGAATCCGAATTGTACGTAAGCATGAAACTGTCGTAGTAGAAAGTTCACGGTATCTTATAAGACGAATTATATACATATATAACACCAAGTTAGATTTCGTTACTTATACTGTATATATATATATATATATATATATATATATATATATATATATTTCTTGACCTGCTTTATCGCTAACAGTCATTTCATAGCAAGCTGACGCGAGACCACCACACCCGCAGATTTATACAATGTCATATCGCCATCAATATCATTATTATCATTATCACTTTTATTATCACTGAATATACCTCTGATGAGTGGCTATCGACAACTACCACGCTAACAGATCATTTTATGTAACTTGCCATATTGAACGCACTTTAAACACCATAATAAAATACTTAAAGTAGGGTATATCTCATTCTGAAAAATTCACTAAACAATCATGCTTATAACAGACTTAGTATTCTAATACTAAAAACCCAATATACGAACACGATCAGCCTCCTTACCTGCCAAGAACGTGATCTACCAGGCCGAGAGATCTTGCCTCCTCCGCGAGGAGAGGGTCTGGCCGGGCGTACATCAGCTCGTACGCCGTGTCCCTGCCGACTCTTCTCGGTAGAAAGTGAGTCCAGTATTCCGAGCCACACAACCCCATGGAGCGATAAGCAGGAGAAAGTAAAACTCCCTAAAATTTGAAATAAACCACAAATTTGTCATTTGCATACAGATGCGTCATGATATTTCACAAAGAATTATTCTAGTTTCCAACAGCCCTCTACCCCACCCATCCACCATTTCCCTTCTCCTCCCCCACCCCATCGCCATGCCCATGAAAAGTTATATGAATGATTTTGTTTTTGAGTTATTTTGTGAAACTGGTATGACATGAATGGTTATCCTCTAGGCACTGTCGTCCGTTCCCCTTTGCGTTGTAAAGTGACCTTCTTCACTTCTGTTGACCGCGTTACTTCCCGCTACCACTCTCTTGCACCAATCAAATGGGACCCAAACTTCCATTCCTAAGACTACCATTCCTGCCATGGTGTAACAAAACAGAAAGTCCGCCCTCCATTTTGTTATAATGGTTAGGGTTAGCCTGACCTAAGTGGGTCAAAATCTAGGGCGAGGCTTAACTGTACAAATAAATGGAAAGTGGATTCTTTATCATGGGGGACTCTCTGTCACTTTTCACCGGCCTCGGTTAAGTCACTTCAGTTTTCTCCCGGACATAATCGCTTACCTGAGCTGACACCACCACGTCAGCTGCTGCGGCCATCATGGCGCCCCCAGCTCCGGCATTTCCTTCTAGCGCTGCCACCACCAACTTGTCTCTCATCTGGCTCATGGCCAATATGACGTCATTAATCTTATTTATGTTGTTGTTTGCTTCTTTGGCTGGATCGCCACTGGCCTCAATCTGACACAGGTGGATACCTGGTGAGATAGAATGTTAGTGAGAAAATCTTTCTGTGGGCTATTGATAGTTATTTTCCCATTTCTTTTATTTCAATTTCATTTTATTATTTTTTATTATTTTCTGTTTTTGAGTTCTTATTCATTAAATCATTCGTTAATTCACTTTGATTAATGTACCGTTTTTTTATAATTATTATGTATTGTTTATGTATTTATAAACTATTTGTAATCTTTTTTTAATTGTCTGCCTTTGGATGGCTATACTGTGATCTTTGTCTATATCTGTGACTTAACTCTCGGATTACATTGGTTATCACGATAAAAGGTATTCAAATCACGAAAGTCATCACAGCCAGTTAAATCTCCCTCCTTCCGGACCCAGTCCAAAATGACATGTGGGGTCGTTGGTCTTATTTAATATAACGTAGCATCACACCGTACACCTTGGCACGGTACACCTTGGGACTGTACACCTTGGGACCGTACACCTTGGCACGGTACACCTTGGGACCGTTCAAAATGACCTACGTCGACGTAGTTAATGCGCACTCCACGGGAACTTTCGCTTAATGCTATCGGATTCATAGACTTACACGTCCTGGCCCCGTAACTCGAAAGCATCGCGCATTGCGACCGATCGCAAGCGTCTTGATTCCATGACTCTCCCATACTCGCTCCATATAATACATTGTAGCCTCTATGTAATATCGCTATTTGCAACAGGCGATGCTTTCGAGTTACGGGGCCCTGGTGTAATCACCGCGCAGCTTCTCCGTACATATACTCTCCCCAACGGCAGGAAAAGGCGTGTTAGTCTGTTAATCTGATTGCATTCAGCGAGAGTCCTCCTGTAGTTACTGCGCATTAGGTAGGTTGACAATTCACTCTCAAAAGTTCCCTTTGATTTGCGGGAAAACAACAACTTACCGGTTGAAAAGAATCGCGAGCCGCCCATGAGGACTACAACCTTGACGTGGCTCATCTTGGCAACTTGCTTCAAGACCATTGCCAGCTCTGCCCCCTGGCGACTGTCCATGGCACCGTTGTAGAAATCAAAGTGGACATAGCACACTGGACCCTGTTGTTTTAACCAAATCTCGCTGTGGCTGGAGACATTGGTCAAATCTGGTAAACTGGCCACAGTACTGGCAGGCAAAACTGAGGTAGCAGGTAACTTGATGGACAACCGCTTGTTCCTCTAATAAAGAAAAGAAACTTTATGCAGGTCACATCAAGAAGGTCGAACTACTTGGTCACAT